GCAAGAAAAGAACCAAGCTCAGAGAACCCCAAGGACTCCTCAGTTCAACCCTGAGCTACACATATTCACCTCTATCAGAAATAGTATACTGATTAACAGAGGTACTATGTGACTGGAGGATACTTTTACCTAACATTACAGATGATTCTTAGGGTCAAGGGTATTTTGGGCACTGTTTAGGGCAGTCTTTGGACTTTTTTTTTAAGCAAGATTATTTGCAGGAATTTAAGAGGAAACTTAATGGGATGCAAACTACAGGAATGTATTTTATTGATTGTTGCTTTTGTATGTTTGTGTGTTTTCTTTCCCAGGGATATCATGTCAATTTATAAGGAACCGCCTCCTGGAATGTTCGTTGTGCCTGACCCCCACGATATGACCAAGGTTGGTGGTATCCAAATGCCTGCTCTGTAGTTCTGCCAAACGGTTTTCCTAACAATTTTAGAAGGAAGTCATTAATAATATCATGGCTTGACATATAGGCACCATTTTGGAAAAACTGCTATAAAAAACAAAATGAGATAAATTGATAACAGTATAGGTTTCTTCACCTTAAGAAACTTTTCAGTACTGCCCAGCTTATGTTGTGTTTATATTGAGAAATTAGTTGAAATGAGAAAAAACAAAGGGAGTGGTGCTATTAAAAAAGTGGTACATACCACTGGGCTGCTATTCCTAATATTTGTATGTTCTGTGGATTGCTGTGTAAAACGTAAGCCACAGGCTCTGCCTTTCAGGCTTGGAGTCTAAAAGAGAGAAGTGGGTTAGGAAATTGATGGTAAGGAGGAGATGAAATTGTTAAAAGGTGTTTACATAGAAATAGAATTGGGCTAAGTTTGCCTTTACTGTTGATCTTTAGACAGACATCCTTAGTCCTGTGGCCTTGGTTTTTCAATTATAGTACAAGATATTGTATGTTTATGAAAGAAAAAGACTGAGGCATGGACATACTGGTTTTTTAAATGCATGAATGTGTCAAACTCTAGAGACCTCCTTTGATCTGAATCCCTTGCAGATGAGAAAAAATGAATTCTACAACTAACAAGTTGTATGTTATTCATATATGCATATATTTGGGTCTGTTCATCTAATTCTCCTTGTTTTAGCTATGGGTTAGCCAGGTTCAGTCATTTGACTGATCAAACTTACCAAGTATTCTAGGTACTGCAAAGAAAATAATATATGAATCTGATTAACTTGGAATAATCAATACATAAAATAAAACAGGTAGTGGTAAATGTGAGCCAGTGGCATTGACTTATTGCAATTTTATTCTGCCTTTCACTCCAAAAACTTCAGGGTGCGTAGTCTCCCTCCCATTTTTTCCCCTCAAAACTGCCCTATGAGGGAGATTTGGCTAACAGTGTTTAATGAGTCTATACCTCCTAACAAGATCAAGGATAAATGAGAATTAAAATGTTGTTACAATCCATTGTTTTGAGCACTGGACATTGACTTTCAGCACTGGTGACAGTATTCTTGTCTGGACATGCCTGCAGTTATAACAGATGGCTAGTAAGAAAAACTTGGCTGCATCTCTGGATTTTCTCCCAAATGCTGTGGGACTAAGAGCAGGCAGCAAGCTAACAGTATATTTTTTTAAAGTTGTCATTCACGTAATGATATTCTTAATATATATAGCTAGAGTCAAATAATGATCAGTTCACCAGTCAGTTATAATGATGAATCTTTTAGCTGAATAGTGTGTCAATCCAAGGATGATATATAGCCCCAAGGCTCTCTTGGAAATTGAAATTCTCATTGAGCCCTTGCTCAAATGAGTTTGTGACACTTTAGTAAACTTTCAGATTTTCAAGCAAATTCGGAATTTAAGTAAATGTTTATTTACTTTAAAATCTATTGTCCCCTTTTTCATTCAGAAGGGCTTCCAGTGCAGCTTACAAAAATTAAAGAATTGCTTCTTCATGGTAAATTCTTGCTAGGCTAACCACCAGCAAATGGATTTTCACACTTGAAAATCAAGTAAATCACCCAGTGAGGCAACTTTCTCCAGGGTGGCCCTAATGCAGCCTGAGGAAAGACTGAGGCTTTGAAATGGCTGTCTCATTTCTTTTCTTATTGCAAGATGATGTTATCCTTTCAACACCAGATTTACGCTACCCATAGGGCAGTTGCAGCTGATGGGCTGTTGGAGGGGAAAGAAGGAGCCCAGATCAGAAATCATATAACTGGTCAAATCAGAGTGGAACTGCATTAAAAGTCATAAAGTCAATAAAACAGGTGAAGTAAAAAGTTTGTTAATTCCACTTAAAAGCAAAGATAGAATAAAATTTATCTCAACTTGGCAGGAATTCTGCAGATGTAGAGTTAGACCTGATAAGGCCATTATGCCTTGTGCCTGCCAACTGATAGGGGCCTACAAGCAGAGTCTCTGTGACTGATCTTAAAAGTCAGACAGGTTGACATTGAATCACATGTTCCTAATCCATTTAGGGTTTTAAAGGTCAAAACTACCGGTTCAGTTGAATTAAGAAAAATAAAACTGGGGAAGCTGATATGGAGTTCTCCACTGCATTGCAAAGCAGTAATGATTTTTACTGCTTCAACTCAATAGGTAGGAATGAAATCTGAGGCTTGAGCTGTTTAAGAAGTGTCTGAGTTTTCTCTAACTGCTTGCAGAAAGCCTTCTCTGCCTCCCCTGACTTGTGTCGGCAGCCGTTGGCATCGGGGCAGATGCTGCCACTGGTGCCTCCAGTCAGAAGTGTTTGCGCAAGCCTGGGCTTTTCTCTTGCAGATTCATGCGTTGATCACAGGCCCCTTTGACACGCCTTACGAAGGGGGTTTCTTCTTGTTCCTGTTTCGCTGTCCTCCAGATTATCCCATCCATCCACCGCGGGTCAAACTGATGACAACTGGGAATAACACAGTGAGGTTTAACCCTAACTTCTACCGAAATGGGAAGGTCTGCCTCAGTATTCTAGGGTAAGGAGCAGCTCAGCTCAAGCTCTTTTCCAGGGGAAGCCCAGGTGGGTGCTTTGGGAAGGCTTATATGCAGCTCTTTTCTCAAGGACCATGTGTGGATCTGTGTTTTTCAACAGAATAGGGCAGAGGGAAAGCATGAGATCTATAGCACGGGGGTAAAGCCGCCACGTAACTGCAAGCCACGTGTGGCCGCAAGCTGCTTCCTACCATCTTCTAATATAGAGGCAAGCTTGGGGCAATTAAATTCCAATATGTTTTCTCTACAGTCTTTGATCAGCTCTAGGCATTAAAAGAAGGACCCCCAGTCCTGTGCCAGAGACAGCTGTGCACGTGGTCAGAGGTCCTTCTTGTAACTTTTTAGGCTGCTCTTTTTTTCAACCCAGCAATGAATACTGAGTAACTTTTCTGTATGTATGTGAGAGTGTGAGTATATGTTTGGTGTATATATATATAGAGAGAGAGAAAGAGTGCACACACATTGTATTTTTTGAAACCACAAAGCAATTCCTTTGAAAGATTGCTCCTGTATTCCATCCTGTTTGTTTTCAGTTACTTGGGGTTGAGTGGGGCCAGTAGAGGAGAAGGCCTGAAGAAGCCTCTTCTTTGTGTTATAGTTCCTAGGGGTGCTTCAATGCTGTGCTTTCTTTTTCTTTTCTTTTTCTTTTTAAGAAAAAAAAAGACAAACTAGTTGAATATAGATAATATAGTCAGTATCCTTGACAAAATGAGATGAGGAATCAAAAGTGGTGGCTCTTGCAGCCATTACGTTTGTGACCCCTTCTAGCAATACTATATCTGTATCAGATTCAAACTAGCAAGGTATATCTGGAGACGAAGGATTTGAATGTTCAAAAGCTACTACAGGTGGATTTGAATGTTCAAAAGCTACTACAGGTGGTCCTCGGTTAATGATGGTAATTGGGACTGGGAGCTCCACTGCTAAGCAACACGGTTGTAAAGGACGACATCATGTGACTGCACTGACTTATGATGGCAGTTCCAGTTGTTGTCTTTAGGCAAATCCCACGTGGGCATTAGGCGCGACATCACAAGATCACCATTTGTGACCTCCTGCCAGCTTCCCCATTAACTTTGCTTCTGAGAAGCTGGCAGTGAAGGTTGCAAATGACAATCATGTGACTGCAGGATGCTGCAAAGTCATAATTGCGAACCAGTTGCCAAGCGCCCAAATCACTGTCAAGCGTCCGCAGGGACGCTACAATGGCCGCAACTATGAGGACTGGTCGTAAGTCTCCTTATTCAGCACCATCGTAGCTTAAAACGGTTGCCGAATGAGGACTATATAGTAATTACTTTCTGTAGAGTATTTATTAACCTATAAGCACAGGTACATTTGTAAGCTTTTTGTTGTTGTTAACTGCTGGTCTTTTTATGTTAAATAGAATGTAGAACCTTCTTCCTTGTGGGGAGGTCTGTACTACAGTGTAGCTATAATTCATGAATCTGCTGTTAGGACTCCAAATCCTACCTGGAGCCCAGATCAAGTCCTTGTGCCTTAGAACAATTTTCTAATGTGGAACGTAGCATTCCTAATAGCTGTAACTTCAGCCAAGGAATGTCAGAAATAGATGTCTCTACTAAGAAGGAGCTCTGTCTCATCCAGTGAGACACAGTTATTCTATACCTGGAGCCAACTTTTATAACTTTTAAGTTTTATATATTTATTGTTTTAATGGATTTTGTGAGCTGCCCAGAGTCCCCCATTAGGGG